TTTGTTGGTTGACCAGAAGGTGTCATCCCTCTGAAGACGTTGGATATCAATGCCCTTCAGTGTAAATATAAAGAAATCACAAAACTCTCTTTGTGTATTGTGTAACTGCCCTTGTACTTAATAGTAGAAGTATAGTGGTGATTTGGACCTTTCACACCAGGCTCAGTTTTTTTTTTTATTTTTCGCCTCATACTTTTTTGCGGTTTCAGCAGGCTTCAAGAATCTTTTGGAACGGGGACACTTTACGTCAACGAAGCCATTTGTTCCAAGTAGTCAATTAGGGAGTGTTGCTAGCAATCCGTCTTTCATATTAACGAATGAGCCGCACTTCTGCACAGTGCAGTTTTCCTGTTCCACATACAGTTGTAAAGCAGCATCGTCATTGATTCTACCATATTGTATTGCGGATGAAGAAAGGTCTTTGGGTACACGATACTTGAAACAAATCTGGCAATGTACGTTGCGGTTCGACACCCACTAATGCCGTCCTGCTTATAGAGCCTCATCATTCAAACATTACCTTGTCACCTCATATTGCTCTTCATCAACAGTAAGTACAATAGGCTACCGCCATATTACAATCCAAGAATTGAAAAATTGAGTCGTTCAGTCCTTCAATATGTTTATCGTTTATATAATGTTATTACGTTATATTACCTCGAGGCGATCGACGCCCATCGTCGATCTTAAAATACTTGTACCTGTATATAAATTAGACGCACAAAAGGGGGGGGGGGGGATCGGTGGCCGAGTGCATGGTCTATACTCTGTTTCACTTTATGATGTATCGCAGTAAAAGGTACAAGCGCGAGCTCCTTGCTCTCGGGCACATCTCGGCGGCATAAGCTCTTGTATGCTAAGAGCAGCTACCAACGCTATGAGCTCGCGCTTCTAGCCTTCTCTGCGGTACAACTTAAGGTGAAACGGAGTATAGCGCACGCCAGCTCGGAGCACGTGGAGCGAAAGCTCGCACTGCAGAACCCACCCCGCCCCTGCCCGTTTTGATCTGGATGAGCATCGTACCGGTGTGCGGTCGTGTATCACTACTGCGTGGTGCACGTTAAAGACCCCAGGTTTGCGGTTGTACCGCACTAGCTAAATTGTTCATCTACAGCTGAGACACCAGACGCCCACTAAGGCAGACTAACTTCCGGCTGTATAGACATACACACAACAATTTGCAATTAGACGCACAATCACAAAGAACACAGCATGCCGCCTCTTTTCTTTGGATCGTATTTTTTTTTAAACCAGCGCAAGCTCGAGCGTTCTTTCTTTTGAGACGGTAAGAACGGTTTCACATAAAACCCGCGTTTTTCCTACCCGGCCGCTTCCTCCTCTCATTATGTGTAGTTGGTTATAACTAAATAAGGTATAATAATAGTGTATTATTCATATTTAGTTTCAAATTCAGTCAGGGGAAAGGAGATTTGAGGGAAGTAAAGCCAATAAATGAGCTGTGCTTAGAGTATCGGCACTCTCTTCCCTGACAGTGTTGCGAACGCCGCCATTTTCGTGCTTGTGCAGAGCAGGCGCAACTGCCGATCGTCATGATTCAAAAGTGCGACGTCCTCAGCATGAGATTCTGTGTTAGGAAGCTCATGTAATGTTGCTTTGCTCTGTCGCAAACTGTTTAAAGTGGAGGACGGAAAATCGTTTCTTGTGATTTCAGATAAAGCTTCAAATAACTGGCAACCATGATTTTAAGCCACAATATGGCCAAGTGTCGCTACTCTGAAGCGTAGCTTATTTAATGACACTATTCATGCTCTTGTTCAAGAGGCTTGTAATACCTGGAGGGGCCATGACGTAAGCCCCGTGGATTCCACAAGCCACTACCTTTTGACACCTGCCTCTTCCTCATTGTTCCCGCTTGTGCCAGTAAATTAGCTACGGTTCAGAGTAACGACATTTGGCCATATTGTGGCTTGAAATCATGGTTGCCAGTTATCTGAAGCTTTATCTAAAATCACAGGAAACGCTTTCCGCCCCTTACAAATGTTTAAACAACCCGCGACAGAGCATTGCAATATTGCCTCAGCTTCCTTGCACCGCATCTAATGCTGAGGAAGTCGTACTTTTGAATCATGACGATAGGCAGTGGCGTTTGCTCTGAACAAGACCCAAAATGGCGGCGCCCAAAACAATTTTGGGGAACGGAGTGACAATACTTTAGAGCTCATTTAGTGACTCTAGGCATGAAGTGAACTCGGGTGTATTCTTTTCCTCTTCGTCTTTATTGTTTATTGATTTCAATCATATCGAATAATGAACACATTATATCACGCTACGCTTGTGTAATTATTTGTCTGAGATTTATTGACCTGACCCAGTACTTAAACCATTCATTTATCGATAGTAAATCTTCCAATATATTTTTTTAAATGTGAAGGTAAAAAAAACACGGAGATTGTTGATGACAGAGACGCCAACGCCGCCCTCGGAAATTTTTTGAACATTAGAAATCAGCAGTTTGTCTGCCATCCGCCAGGTAGCGCAACAAAACACCCAAACAGTTTTTAATTGTTTTTTAAAATTAGCTAAGCTCTACACCTATTAAAAAACCAAAGCAAGATCATTCTGAGAATCTAATACATCGCAATGTATATCTATTCCAAACAATAAATGTTATTAGATGCCAATAAATCTGTTTGATGTCCAAAAAAGATATGCGTCAAAAACAGGTAAGTTTGAAGGGCTCCTGGAGCGTTATGACTTTGAAAATGAAAAAAAGCCATCGTCCACCTCTTGGGAAACCATTGTAGTCCTAAATGTTATAAAAGATTTTATCATAGTTTAATTATTTCCTCAGCGGCATTTGAAGTACCATGACTCGAAGCACAAAAAAGTGCTACGTTTGATGTAAAATATCTAAACAAAAAAATTTTTGCACAACATTAAATTTTTTTTATGCATATTACCAATTATAAGCACTAAACCTGTAGCTAATTTCATTGTCCTAGCTCTTGTCATTAAAAAAATATTTGTGCTGAAATATGTCAATTTTAGGGCAATATTTGGAGGGTTGAAAAAAACAAAGTAGTGCAAATACAAAAAAAGTGTATCGTTACATTCTGCTCCGACATCATCTTAACAAAACTGCTATATTGGAACCATGTTATCTTTAATGGATCGTTCATAAAACATGAACTAGCAGAGCAAGTCGGGGTCCGCGCCATCATATTCGCAACGCTACAAATGCGCATGAGCAGTAAACACCAGCACACACATATCAAATGAAAGAGGATCGCATTGCCTTTCGAATGACATCAATCTCACAAAACAGTATTTAAAAGGAGATGAGTAATGACCTACCAAAAAGTACCTAAACTGCCACTTTCAGTGGGACCGTGGCCTTAATGCGCTAGACCTAGTGCCTCCGAGATCTGCTCCAGAGCAAGGAGCTCGCGCTTGTAGCCTTTTCTGCAATACATCATGAGGTGAAATAGAGTATAACTAGAGCTTCGTGTTTTCGGAGTTTATTTTTCGTCAAAATCAGAGGGTGTTTTTCGGTGTTTGTTTTTTGCCGAAGATTCGGAGCTTATATTTTTTTATTCCCAATTCTCCAAAATTCGGTGTTTAATTTCGCTTTGTTTCCTATTAAAAATAAATAAATAATAACCGAATGTAAACGTATGCCCGATAAAAAATAAAACGCGCTTGTATCAATTGAAATATCTTCAATGGAACTCGGCGTTGGTGCCATTGCCATTGACAATACTTATTTATCCACGACAAAAGTCACACACAAGTGGCGCTTCGATAAACGCCGATACCTTAAAATCAATAAACTCCCGGAGGTAGTCGCTAGGAGGCTCGTAGTCATCCCACCCTATTCCATCAACCAAGCCCGCGGCCGCGCGAGGTAGAGTGGTTAAGGATGTAATAGAGTTTCAACTGCCCCTCTTCCCAATTTTATACAATCCCTATGGTCCATAGCTTTCACTGTTACTAAAACATACCCTTTCACTTCTCTAAATCACAAATCGCATGGCCCAAACTGGAAACCAAAAGAGTGGCTTTTGCCGTGCCCCGAATGCACAACGAACAACCTGTTGCCCTGAATCAACCTTGAAGAGACAAGCGGCAAGACCCCTTTTGACAACGGTCCGAGATTTGAAGGATAATTATGGTGGAATTTTCCCAGTATCATTGGCTCTGGCTGATCAAACTGTAAAAAAAAAAGTCTTACTTTTTTTTTTTTTTTTTTTTTTTTTGCCGGGGGGGTGGGGGTGGTGGCATTGACACATAAATATTCGGAGACCATCGGATAAATCCGAATTGACCAAAATTTTACCGGTGGGTGTTTTTCGGAGTTTTTCGGATTTATCCGAAAACACGGAGCTCTAGGCCAGCTCAGTTGAACTCGATGATCGTTAGCGGCTGAAAGAGAGTTTGCGCTGCCGTGTAACTCCAGTCGATCGCGATTAAGTCAGCTGTCGTTTGTTTATGACAGAGGTCTGTCCTTGGGACGCAAAAAGCAAAAATCACTACGTCGGTAGTTGTCGGCGCAGGGACGCCCTCGACCCTCGTCGGCTCACTGGTGTCGCCCTTGAGTGCCCTTTGCGGGGTCGGGCTAGTGTCGGCCTCTGCGGGGTGCCCTCTCCCTGCCGGTTCTTCCTGGGTTGTTTTCTTCGTGGCGCCCAGGTTTATTTTTTCCATAGATTAGTTTTCACTTGGCTTTTTACATAAATGTCCCTTTTGATTTAAGGATCGAATTCATTTATATTCAATCGGCTTTAAGTCTGCAGCGCCTGACGGTGGGAACGGACGCAGGGGACAATTATTTTTCAGTCTTTTACATGCAGCCCGGAACTCAAAAGCGGTCGTTTGTTTAATGACAGTTAAGAGCCCCAGTGTAACTAGGGTATAAGAGCCATCATTTAGTATATTTTTATAAAGCAGTATACTGGTTTTTAACCCTGTCACTGTCGGGTTTGTTGTCCCAAACGGAGTATGAATGGAATATATCCGGATCTTTAGTCGGTCCAACTCTGCAGATTCCCAAGACGGCCACCGTGCTGCTAGAGTTCTTCATCCGGCGAGAGAGCAAAATTTCCGTTCTTCGCGACCCCCTGTCCCACTTCTGCCAAGAGGAAGTGGTCCTCCACGCGCAGGAGTGTCTGCTCAAGCTTAACAAGCAAGTGATCACCTACCAGGACATACGCGACATGGTCGAGAACCTCGTCGGCCTTCACAACATGGTGAGCCGAGCTAGCCTCCAAGTGTTCATCAGTTAAACTATATCGACAACATTATCCTCGTTAGGCAGCCTCCCACTCCAAAATGAACCTTGTGAGTTCAATTTCCCGCAGAACACGAAGACAGTCAAGCGCGGTTAAGATGGAAGGATCCCAGCGAATGAAGAAGCTCAGAATACGATTCCATCTGAAAACGTTTATGTGCGCAGGGAAATGCCATGCGCGATGTCCCTGCGCACATCATCCTTTGTTTTTGACTAAATCGTATCTGGACTTTGACATTTGCTAAGATTTTTGTTTTAATATTTTCGCTTTATAAGGCTGGTTTCGAAAAAAACCTCCAGTGTCTTTTGTTTGTCAGCGCCGGGGAGACAGGGAGAATGCGGGGGAGGGTGTGACACGTACGACGCTCCCATTGGTTCGAAGCGCTGAGGTCAGCCCAAGTCAAACTCTCCCTCTCTTTGTCGCTGACAAACTGATAGACCCTGTCGGGTTTTCGTCAAAACTAGCGTTTTCGTTTTCGTTAAAGGAACGTCTTATAGCTATCGTAGACCCAGAAAGTAAGAGGCGCCGCGGCGCTCTGCCGTCGCTGGTTGTTCCTCGCTGATTGGGTTTCCGTAGTAGCGGTACTTCGGCTGTGAGTTGTGCGTGTAGTTAAAACGATGGATGCGGTTGCCTCCACGAGTGATATGGATGACCGTATCCAAGGGCGTCGACGTACTCTGAAAGTAAGAGTAGAGAAAAGGGGTGAAAAACATTACAAAAAAGATCCATTGGTGGATTCTTAATGAATGCGTTAGCATGACCTTTGGGAAATGCCCCACACACCCGCCTTTGAGAAACACTAACGCTGACCCCGTAAAGGGGCAAAAAAGATGCACCAAAATATTGAAGGAGCAAAAAAGACCAGAAGAGTGAAGGGGCCAGCGTTAGCGTTTCCTAAAGGCCGACGTATCTGGCGTTTCCCAAGGGTCATGCAAACGCATTCCTTAAGAGTCCACCGATGGATCTTTTTGTTTACCATGATTGGTTATCTGCGTGCTCTACAGGAAAGTGAACTCAAAAAAGTTTCTTAGAATGCACTTGCAAATGGAAGGATAAAAACCGACACCTTCGAGCTCAGAAACTCAGAAGCTTCTGACTTTGAGGCACAGCTTCAATATCTACTCAGTTGCCTTCGCTGACCATATACGAACAAAACTTAAAGCGGCACCTCTGAAATCAGCATTCCTCGCTTTGAACACGCATCGCCTCCATAGCTTTCTAGTAATGTTCCGGTCACTGTGAAACCTAAAAGTGCAATTTCTAACATTTGAAAGCGTTGATCAAGCCGCAAATTGAGTATGTTCTAATCCCATTCCCAATTGACTTTCTTTTTTAATTCTCGACACGCACAGGCCCTCCTCACGCAGCGGCTAAAGCTTGAGCGAAGGTTTCAGTACGAAAGAGAGAGGATTGCGCTACTTCGTCGTGTTGCCACGGCGTCTCAGATGAGTTGCGGAGGAGCCAGGAGTGGTGGTGCAGCTCCCGTTCCGGACGCGAATGGTTATTCGAGCATTCGCCGCTTGATGCTGTCTTGGTGTGAAAATGTTCCATCACGTTATCCGGGGAATCGTGCGCCGCTCACCTCAACTAAAAAATCCTGATCGGAAGCAGAGGGTAACAGCGAGGCACCATGACAGAACAGCACACGACAAAACAGCACGCGGCAAAACAGAACGGCGTCAAAAGAGCACAGCGACAGAACAGCACGCGTCAAAACAGCACGGCGTCAAAACAGCACAGCGACAGTAGAGCACGTGCCAGAATAGCACAGCGTCAAAACAGCACGTGAGTAAGTGCCTGCTGGTTTTCGGTGTCGTTACATGCTATTACCTATAATGTAAAACCTTTCCACCCCATGCAATAGAGTTTAATCTCTTGTCGTTTTCCAGCTATCGATTGTTAATTCGTTGGCTTTAGTTTATAACTAGGGTTCTGTATTTTCAGTACTTATTTTTCGTCACATTCGGGGGTTATTTTGCTATGTTTAATTTTTTGCCAGAATTCAGTGTTTTAGGTGTCTATTTGTGATATCACTAATAGACATCGTCCCACAAATCAGGGTTTTTATGATATCCCGAAGGAAAAATCCATCAATGTAACCCTGTTTGGCAGTCAATGTTTTGTAGTGGACCGCTGACTGTGCCTGACTGTACGTCAAACATGTCTGATTGGCCAACAAGTTGCTCTGACCGAAAGTCAAACTCCAGTCAGACTCCACTTGTCGGCTTTCTGATGGTTTCCTGGTGGCAGTCGGCCGCCGCGAAATGCCATCAAGATGTCTTGGTGGCGATTCTGATTGTACATCGATTGGCTCTGACTGTACGTCAAAAAGCTTTGACGTGCAGACAGACGTACGGTCAAAGGACGTAAAGTTCGTTCGGATACCACTATTTCGTCAAATCTATGAATACGAAAAATAATCTATGCACAAGGAAACGATTTCGGGACGTGAGCCCGTAAAACCGCTGATGTTAGAGATATGACACGCAGCCGAACGACAACCTTGATCAGAAGCCCGCCGAAACGCCGAAAACGCCACTTCGCTTCGCCCATAGAGGCTTCGCCGAGCTTTCATGAACGATCGCTCTCGACTCGTTTTGTTTTCCCGCTTGCTCCAACCTTTCGATCCTGCCCGGGCTCTACAGTGTTTTATGTTTAAGTAGAATTTCTACTCGACAAGACCCAGCCTGTTGTGAGTTCCGACGATGTAAGGGACTTTAGCGGTGTAGTTGAAGACGACAAGGTGTACCAGGTCTACTGGGCCGGAGACGCGCGAACAGAAGGATCGTTCTATGGCGCGAAAGTACTCTACATGGCAGGTGAGTGTAACTGAAGTACGGCGAGTGATGTACGAGTGCTTTGCATAACATGCTGAAGTCTTAACTGCATTTGCAACCGAAGCATCTCGTATAAAACAAATGGTGAAATCGAGCTTTCTAAGCAATGGCGTAGCATAGGGTTTCAGGTGTCCGATTTGTACGCAAGCGGTCGCGGGTTCGATCCGCGGTGGTCCTGCTTTTTTTTTTTTCTTTTTTTTCTCGAACATTTTGTTTTATCGAGGCATTTGGCGATATTTATGAGTGCGTATAGCTTTACTCCTATAAATGCTGCCCTTGTTGATGAAAATCCCTTGGCTGTGGCAGTCAGACGTCATCTGATGGACCATCAGATGACGTCTGATGGTCCATCACGTTCCATCAAGGCTGCTGACTGGCAGTCAGTGTCCCAAATTACGTATCTTGATGGAATTTTCAATAGGGGAGCCCCGATAAACTCACAAATCGCGGTTTGTTGTAGCTCATATGATAAGAGCAAAGGTATATCTGACGCGCTCTAAAACTCACGACGTTATATGCGTTATTTATTACTAAATAAAGCACACAGAAACAACCTCCGAAGGAACAAGCAGGGTCGCGGACAGTTCGATGCCGTCGGTGCTTGGGTTAGACACAAAAAAAAAAGTTATTTAAAAAAGTTTCCTGCCGTGAAACTCCGGTGTTTTTCTCCTTCAAAGCGAGCTTCAATTCGGTGTCTTTCGGTTTTTAACAATTTAGAGAAAAACCCTTTGGGGGGTATTTTTCGGTGATTATCGGTATATAGCGAAAAGAAGGAACCCTATTTATAACCATACAAATGCGGCGTTCAATTAGCCGACCGCAACTGAAAGAAAGAATGAACATCACAACGGACGAAAGAAAAGAGAAATCTAAAAACGGTTTATTTGACATGCGCTCTTGTTTTACGTGTCTCTTACCTGGAGTTGGAAAAGCGACAGCCCAGAAGTGGTGTCGATGAGTGGCTGTCGCTCTGTTGCACGGATAATTCCCAATCGCGTACTATCGCGAGGTGTTGCATCTCTGAGTGTCGAAGATCAGCTGCAACTCATGGAAGTGGGGACAGCTTGGTGGTGCAAAGGGTACGGTTTTATTGTTTTTATGTTTCATATTTACATTTTACATTCAACAATTTTTATTTAATCGTAGTTTTCATTAAAAAAAGAGCACGCTTGCCTTGGACAACGATTTCATTTAAGTCTCAAGATATTATGTGATATTAATCTCTACTAAAGGAGCGAATTTTAACATGCGCTGAATACCTCCCACTGAAACAAAATATTCAAGTGGTCTATGTTGATTATATTCACGATATCTCTAATGTGGCTTAAAATAAAACTAATAAACGTTGAATAAAAGTTGCACTGTCCCGTGCGTAAAAAAGTACTGAACATTAATACGCTATTTTATTATTTTGCATTAGGCAATGGAGGGAAGCATCAGCGATCTGCCAAACATGAAAAAATATATAGCAGCCCCCGTGATGCAAACAATAAAGATAAAATCTGCCACTTCCAGCCTCATCAAATTAAGAATCAATCGCGAGAAAACTGCAAGGGATTCAATTCCATTGGCATGAGGTGGGAAGGCTCTATATTATAAGTAACAAGATATAACAACACTGAAAACCATCAAGCACTTAAGTACATGCTGTTTTGACGCTGTGCTATTTTGGCACATGAACTTCTGTCGCTGTGCTGTTTTGACACGTGCTGTTTTAATGCGTGCTGTTTTGACCGTGCTGTTATGTCGCGTGCTGTTTTGTCGTGTGCTGTTCTGTGGCGTTCCCCAACAGCGATTATACCATGCAGCTGAAACCCATCGCCCAAATTGCGTAACATTGTTCTTACCCCGTCTTGTAGTGTGTGAACAGTCATGCTTCTACGTTTTAGTGGGCAAGAATAGAGTTGTGCAATGTTGCCACATTAGTGATGCAAAACTATCGACAAAGTGACTATCGATACTATCGATAGTTTTGGAAAAACTATCGATAGTGTCGCAGAACTATCGATAGTCAACTTTCGATACTACTATTGATAGTTCTTCGATAATCGACTATCGATAGTACAATCGATAGTCAACTTTCGATACCACTATTGATAGTTCTTCGATAATCGACTACCG